TGTTCAATGTGGGAATGATAGGTGAGAGGAGAGAAGAGAAAACAAGGATGAAAGCAGGTGTGCATTGTCAAGTAGTGAACTCTTCCTTGAAGGCATGTATTGTAGTTGAATATATACAGGTACAATCAAAGAGATACCAGTATACAGCTGTACAGACCTACAAATTTAATGTCCACATACATGTACATGTACTACATGTGCATGTATCATTTCAATTTGCCCAATATTTTACAACTCGACTGAATTCATGATAAAGCAGGAGTTCTATAAACCGATTAGTTCTCATTTTCATCGTCCCACCTCCCTCTCTCATTCTCCCTCCCCCATTCGCTCTTGCCCCACAACCTTGCATACCCCCCCCCCCTCCTTATTCTCTTTCCCTCTATCATCTCTTTCTTCACTCCCTGCTCCATTCCCTGCTCCTCCGTCCTCCTCTCCCTTCATCTTCCATCTCCCCCTCCCTCTCTTTCTTCCTCTCTCCTCTCTCTCTCCCCTTTCTCCTCCTTCCACACTTTCCCCTCTCTCCCACTTTCTTTGTCACTCTTATTTCTTAATCTCTCTTCTCTCTCTCTCTCTCTCTCTCTCTCTCTCTCTCTCTCTCTTTTTCTCTCTTTTTCAATTTCTCTCTCTCTCTCTCTCTCTCTCTCTCTCTCTTTCTCTCACTCTCTCTCCTTAGAACCACAGTGTATCTACTGTACTGAAGGACAAGAGCAGCAGCATAAATTTTCCCTCCTAGACATCACACCTAATTTGTATGGGTTCATAACAACTCAATCGATCACGGCCTGAGAGGGGAACGACTCAGGGAAAGATCGTTAAAATGCAATAAGAGTTGAGAGAAAGAAAGCCTGCATCACCTTGCTTTCTTCCTCTTATAGACACCGGATGGGGGGAACAAAGGGAGAAAACATGCAGAACAATGAAATAAAACCTGACAGGAAAGGCGATTGGCCAGTAGGCCTGTTCGACTTTACAAGAAAGTCATGAAAGGTTTTTTTTTTTAAGGAGCTCATTTGTCCAAGTTTACACCGTTACAGGATCAGCATAATGAATACTTGTACATTCATGACATTGTATTTGAGGCCTCAAAGACAAAATTTAATTTTTATGAAAAATCACAGAGAATAAGATTTTATCACTTCTATTCACCTTAGGAATAGCAAAGTATGTACATGTACATGTATGTAACTCGTTTATACATGTATGTACAAAAATAAATGCACATTTATGCAGTCGTAACCCATTTCCTACAAATCGAACCCTCCCCCTACCCTACCCTCTCCCCAATTAAACTGTAAGGTCACCCCCCCCCCCCTTTACTTAGCTGTTGTCTTCCTTACCAACAAATAATGTACTTTTCGCCTTAGATGATTTGGAACAAGTAATCAGCTTTCATACATCTAAAAGCCATCCCGGAACACTACTAGGCCCTAAAGACTTTTATCGGCACGGTACTGGCAAGCCGCTCAATTTCCATGATGGAAAAGGAACATAAAAAATGAAATACTACCCTTTTCAATCCATTCCCGTGAGGCCTGAGAGGTCTGTGCTACCCATTTTCACCTGTAAGGCAGATTTGCATCATATACTGTACAGCATAAACAACAAAATGGGCCCACATTTCAAATTGAGAGGAAGGTGACTCTTCACTACTATCATGAAAATAGAAGACAATCTGCTTTTATTTGAGTCTAACATATATCTAGTTGCATGTTTATGACATACATTTGTACGGTACCGGTATGTGAAAACAGCTTTCATTACAATTCAAACTTTAGAGAATGTAAATGTATGACTAAAAACATTACTTCTTTTGAGAAAAAAAATCTCCTAAACAATTAAAGATAAATAAATGCAAAATTGCAAACCTCTATTTATTTACTCCTACACAACGGATTTATGCAGGTTGACTATGTACAAGAATGAACATGCATGTACATGTACTGTACAGGTATGTGTTACTTTAGAAAAGAAGCCATTCAGCCATGTCCACAATGTAAATATGAAAATAAATATTTACATACATTGTACACGTACATGTATGTACTTTGATCATCATACTGTACATGCATTGTAAGCCAACGTATCATTTATACCAGATCAAACAAAAACAGAATGTTTAATTTACATCTTGTCAGTTCTGTTTCTCTTATAAACTGGTTATTTGTTTGCATGTTTTTTATTTGTGCGTGTTTGTGTTATTTCTTAGAAAACTACAAGAACATTAATCACATTGCTACCCAGAAATTATTAAATCTGTCCATCTTGACTGTTGTATAAATTATACACATTTATTTTATCTAAAATACTACAAAGAAAAGATTCTTTGCAGCGAAAATATTAGATTGTGAAGTTGTAGCGAGTAAACAAAGTTTACAAAAAAAGCACAAAAAATGCTTCCTTCACCGTATCATGATTAAATTCTGCATACAACTGTGTTTTATCTTATCTATTTGAAGAAAAAAAGCAAGTTTTGTTTGTAGTGAGTAAAAAGAAACAAATTATGTCCCTCGACTCCAATTACCGGTAGCCAGTAATAAGAGTACACCATCACCCATCACCATGTGCAGAATCAGCTTAGCAAGTGAAAGTACTATAAAAATGTGTATACAGTCAAACCTGCTTTAGTGACCACCTGCCTAAAAAGACCACAGTTTTAGTTTCCCTTGAAAATGGTTTGTCATTGAAACATGCAAAGACCATTTTTTGTGTTTCCCTTAAGGGGTCACTATAGTCAGGTTTGACTGTATCTGTGTGCCAATGTGTTCAGCAATCTACGGTACCCATTTACAATTCAGTAATGCCTAAAAATAAAAGATATTCTATTGCCCTTTAGGTGCCAAAACATGGGCCAGTCGGTCAGAAATCTTCTTCTTTTTGTTTCTTTTTTCTCCCTCTTTGGGCTGATATTTCTCAGTTTTGAATGCTATAATATTTTTTTTCTCTTCAAAAAACGTTAAAAAAAAAAAAAATGTTGAAAGCCGACCGTAGATTTCAAGATTGTTGGGCGGTCGCAAAGGGCAATACAACATTTTTTTTTTTTAGGCCTAATGGCCAAACAGTGGCACTGTCAGGGTTGCCGAGATGCATCTGTGTGTATGGTCCATCGAGTATCCATGGCCGTTTACAATAATGGTGCCATCACTGCCAGAGTACCCTCCGAGGGTTTTATTTTCGATAACTCAGAAAATCTCTTCATCAGTAGTTTCAACGTGCGTACAAACTGTACATGTACATCCATTGTATCATAATACTGTATCCTGCAATGAACACACTGGTCAGTGGTCAGTCATAAACTCAGAAAAACCCTAACGTAACATGCAAGTTTAACAGTGTTCCTGGACATGTATACATGTATTGTGGTACCTACATAAATACCTGTCATTACTTATTCAAAAGTCAAACATTTTCTAAATCAAGCATTTCTGCCGGTATTTGAGTTATGAAAAATGTGGGGATACGGCCTTGTACATGTACATATTTGTTTTCACGAGTGTTTTAATTTTGTTCTTTCTTTTAAATCCGCTGATTCCACATGATTTTGGAATGAAGCAAAAAAAAAAAAAAAAAATACTTAAGAGAATGTGCACAAAACCCTCTTTTACTCTTTGTTTATACATCGTATGAGATTCTTTTCAGCTTTGACACTTTCACATTAAATTTTGGTCCTCAGGCATAAACCTTACAATTTTAATTTGTTATAAATAATACTGTAAAACTAAAAAGGGAGGGAAACAACAGCGAACATTCCGCACTTGAAAATGGGCTACGTGTACCAACTACCAATATATGCCAATATCACTTTTATCCTGCTGTTGTTTTCTTACTTGCTGAAGCATGGAGGTATTGTGTGTGAAACCCCTGGCTTTGGTTCATTAGATAACATCTGCAGAATATGCATACTCATTAAATGGCATATTATCGGCGATTGCCATCTGAAGGGAACTACAGCAATTACTGAACCATGCTGCTAATGGCCAGACTAATGTTTTTTACGATGCGTTCACAAGATGACGACGACGAGTTAAGGGAAGGTTATGACTCCAGGGGAGTGTTTCACAAATACTTAGATCAACTTTAAGTTAGACTTAACTATGGCAGGCCGTTCATGCCACTGTTTGCTCTCAATATTTACTGGCATTTGTCTCTCAAGGGACGTACAAATCGTGGTCACAAATCTAAAGAATTTACCTTTTTTGATAGTTCATTATTGAAGGAAAAAATATTATCTAAAGATCATAATTAAGAGACCAACTGTGAAAGTAACCAGTGGCATGAACAGCCTGCCATAGTTAAGTCCAACTTAAAGTTGATCTTAGTCTTTGTGAAACATCCCCCTGTAGGGTCAGAAGCTTCTGAAGTTATCTTTACAGAACTCTACTTGCTGAAATTACAGACGCCTTTACTAAACAAAAGAAGATTTCTGTATTGAGTGTATTCTAATGAAGAACAAAAAAATTGCTGGTATGCTGTTTCTTTGAATAATAAATAAAAAATGAAGTTTTAATGAACAATACAAATATTCTCACTGATCCTTTTAGATTAATTATGCCATATGTACATGGCTAACTGGCTACTACATGTACGTGTACGTGTACGTTTACAAAGTAAGAGTGTACTCGTACATAAATCTCAAGAAAGGTTTTGAAATTGTAAGTCACCAGGTTTTCATTGAACAGAGCTTACAAAAAGCCCATTACATGTTCTCATATCTAGATGCATGTACATGTATTTTGTATTTTTAAATTTTGCACATACTGTAAATGTACGTGTATGTGGTAAAGCTATTTCACTTACCATTATCTTTCGCTCTACCACAAATGTTGGTCAGATTTGATAATACAGGTATATGGGGGGGGGGGGAATAATTTTTAAAAATTCCACATTACAATTAGAAAGTGAAAATTATTATGTTGTTATTATACTGATTTTTTTATTTCAATTCATTTCATTGAGATGTACATACTACATCAAACATAAGAAAAGAAGAAAAACGCACCTCTCCTTCTGACTCTCCTCCACCATGATGTGACCGCCTATCCAGATCCCTCTCTCTATCATCATACTCCTCTCTCGACTTGTGCACAGCTCTCATCAACTTGATCCTATCCGGCAGCTTCTGCACTCCATAATCATCTTCCAAATCATCCTCCGTCAGGGCACGGAAATGACCAAGGGTGAAATCATTCGGGAAATACTTGAGGTACGACTCCAGTCCATTGTGGTGAAAAAATAACTGGAATGGGGCGAGAGGTTTAGGAGGGGTGGGGCTGGTAAGAGGGCTGGGGTAACTTGCAGGTAGCCCCACCTCCTCCTCCTCCTTCAAATCCATCATTTCAAGACCAAGATCAAAAAATCCATCTTGACAATCATATCAGTGCAAATAGGGCAAAGGGGATTTGTTCTTCATGAGATTTTCCCCACTGTTGTATGACTACGAAGACTGTGAGCCAACTCTTGAAGAAAGTAACAAGATAACTGCTACATGATGAAACTACACAAAGTCTAGAAACACAGGGATAGTCAGATCTCAGCTCTCAAGTAATCTCACCAAATGTCACTTCAGTCAGCATCCAACCTGTGTGTATGAAAGGATAAGGATTAAAATTCATACAACTACCGTAAACAAATATAATATAACCTAAAATTGTTGAAAATGTTCTTGAAAGACCCCAAGAAAGGGATCGTTTTCAACTCATTTTGTCAAGTTTCAATAGACCATATATATGTAGGCCTATATATTGATAATAATAATACCGGTAGGCATTTCTATAGCGGCGTCCATCTAGAAATTCCATTCCGAGGCGCATTTATTATTACCCCGACTTTAGAAGTGGCAAGAAAAAGTGGTCTCTAATCGTCTAGATCTAATAATTGTCAGTTAGCCTGAAGTTCCCTTAAAGGTACTACCGGATATATACCATTTGAAGGCCTAAAATATGAAAAGGTTAAATTCCAACAGCATATGAAAGACAATACTAATTTAGAACTTTCCTCAGAACGAAAGTGCTTGAAAATGGCTTTTAGTGGGAAAATAACGACCATTAGTTGTCAAATCGACTCGAGTGATTGCAATCACCTAAGTAATACTAGTCTGATTTTCAGACCCTTTTACCGAATGGTCGTACGTTTTGTGCTGCACAAAGATTCAATCAGTTTAATTTTGGCCATTACAAGTAGTGGGTTATTGATGTAGACAAATGCTCATGTACCTGTTTCAGCTCATGTTATGCAACTATAACCAAAGAAAAAAAGATGTCAATCAGTCACTCATTGGTGTCTGACAGTGAAGTCTAGAAGGTAAACAGGGTTTCTTGCATAATTTGAATACTAGGACACTGCTAATGTTTAAATTTCACAGATAGGACATATTACATGTACATGTACATGACATATTCATAATTCCTGCAAAGTTCTATAGAATTTGATGTTGGCTGCAAAAGGGAGATCGCGATATCTCCAAAATGCTTCGACAATAATTTTTCTAGTTGAACCAATTTGTAGTAAAACAAGGGAAACGCTCTTGGCGGTCTTGCCTACATTACACAATTCGATATGATGAAAAATTGAGAATGGGACATTATTTATAGGCATGGTGGCTCATTAGCATGCCCCAAAAATTGAAATCCTCTGTACTTAATCAGCATTTTGAAGTGAATATTTACAAAGAATCATCCGAAAAATTATCTACTATTATTTCTACCAAGATTAATAACTTTCATGAAATATGAACAAATGACAAAAATTGATTCATTATATCTCATATCAAGTTGTGAAAACAAAATCCAAGTCTACTGACCTAAAATGAAAATATGCTAAAAAATTCGAAATCTTGATGTTGATGCCACAACATGGTTCAAGTCTGTTGACCTGGATTGACCTTTGACCTTGACTTTGTGACCTGAATTCTAGTCACATGATTGGGGATACTTGATAACCCTATAGTCCAAGTTTCATTGACTAAGAACTTATACTTTGAAAATTATATCAAAAATTCAAAAACTTAAAGGGATCCGATAATTTTGTCTCAGATTCTGAAATAAAATTCTGGATTTAGCTCATGATGCAATAATTATAAACCTTTAGGTCAGTCAGGAACCCCACGACTTTTACAAGCCGATCGCCTGTCTGATTATCAAGATATTTATGATTGGAATTACAAATTTTAAAAACCGTTTGCCTGACGGTTTTCATAACACTACAGTCTATTGGGGAAAACGAGTATGGTAAAACCTGTCACTCAAAGATTTTTACTTTTTTGAGGCACTTCTTGATCATTTTGAAGCGCAATTTTTTTAGGGCTTCAATATTATTACACCATATCACAGACACTGATAACACGTAGGGCCGTGTATCTCAGATTTAACATTGTTAAACGATCCCTTTAACCTTAGGTTAAGTTTTTGATGTTGACGCCGCCGCCGTCACCGGAAAAGCGGCGCCTAGACTATGTCTCGCTTTTTTGCTATGCAGGCGAGAGAAAAACTTTGCCGTCCATTTGGTAATATTACAATAATTGAAAAAATAAATAAATTTGTGTTGAATATGAGAAACCATAGATCAAATAGGCCTATCACATTTTGTAATTTTGTAATAATAGTCTAGACTAGATCTAGATCTATCATTCTAGATCTAGACCTAGATCTATGTTCTAAAAATATGTCCGCAAACTTTACCACGTTTACCTTGTCACTCTAACTTTAACCATCTTCTTACTGTCTTAGTTAAGGCTTAAAAGTGTCTGTAGCTGTGGCTTGAGTTGAGGAGATCTTAAGATTGCACCTCAAATGCAGGCGAACTGGGTGACATCAATTCAATAAGGTTATGGAATACCCATAACTTTTAACTGTTTTCGAAAAGACAACTGTAGCTAGCAGCGAGCATTGCCGAGCAGTGCATGGAGGTCACACACGCCGCGCCGAACCCGACGTTGTTGCTGTCGCCAGAGCGAGAGTACTGGTGGCGCACTATTCTATGCAACTTACACTGCTGTCTGTGCTTGTGTCTGTGACACGCAGCTGTGCCTATTTTTGGCAAGGCACGCGCCTGCATTTACGCCGATATATTTCATATGTAAGTCTAAAACAAACGTAATTCAATTAGTAAAATAAATAGAGAGGAATAGGAACTAACAAATAGTTACTTACGTCTAACTTTCAACAAAAATGATTTTTACATCATCCTGAATACATCATGAGCATCATCACACCGACCCTCTACCTTTTCTCGAACCTAGTACGAGTCGATTCGATACGGTTCGGATTATTTGAAAGATTAAGCGATCAATATTATCCGGACCTTTTTTTACTTGATGACCCATCGCAAATATAGGGATGATACTGAATTGCTGCAAATACAAATACTGTTGCCGCTTTCAATATATTATTACTATTTTCATTAAAACATTAAATTTACAAAATTAGTTAATCATAGACAATTTAGAATATTTAATTTTTATTTCACTATTTTATTTCAAGCCATTAAAAAAAAATATATACCTATAAAAAGTGGACGTTCCTCAGCATCCGAGTTAACCCGGATCCCTCTGTTGGATTCACTTGCTCTGAGCTAGCTAGCTCTCTGTGCATGCCGCATACCGTACCTGAGCGAGTGTGGTATCCGGAATAATGATATTTGTACAAAGTAATATTGCCTGTTTAAACTTATTCTTAGTCTCTTCTGTCGTACTTATTGAATGAAATGTTTAATTATATAGAGTTTGTGACCTAAAACTGGCTAAATACAAAAATAATTCAACTTTGCGAAGGTAAAAAAGCACATCCTTTTTATTTTAATAATTTTTCACCATAAATGTCGTGATCGGGGGTGTAGCTCAGTGGTAGAGCGCGCGCTTCGCATGCGCGAGGCCCCGGGTTCAATCCCCGGCACCTCCACAACTTCTTCAATCATTTTTGCTTATATTTATTATATTTTTGCGAAAAATAATAAATGATTTTAATAACACGAAAGAAATCAATGTCAAAAAAAATATAGAGAGGATAAGATAAATTCATACATGTAGACCCTTCCCCGCCTCACTTCAATTCCTTTCTATTCTATTCTATTCAAGAATAAGAGGGGTCCATTCATTGCCACTTATACTTGTTTGTGGACCCCTCCTTCTCTATCCCGGTCATTGGGCATTTTCATAAAGAAAAATAAAGTTTTTCTCGCCGCCCTTGACCCATTCGATCAAAGCATGCAGTAACTCTTATTACATGTATTTGTTCCCTTCAAACGTCTGTTCTCTAACTCCTCCTGGGCCGTGAACACATTTTCTAAGCATTTTCTTACTAGTTTAGCTCTTTGTCTGAGCTTCCTGAAACCTTCGTTTACATTACTTTCCCCTCTTTTACCAGGCATGCAAAATTTAGCTCATAAGAGTCAGTTACTGATCCTTCTTTTATATTTGGGGAGTATGATAAAGTATTTCTACATAATACGGGACATCACCCCAATAACCATATTTCTTTTGTAAAGTTTCGCCCAAAGAGCGTCACTGAAAAAGAAAACAAAGAAATTGATCTACTTACAAATTCATAGTGAAACGGTACTTAGTCTATCCCATTCGGAACTGTTACCATGGTTATCAGGGGCGGATCTAGGGGCTTCGGCGGTTTAACCCCCCCCCCCCCCCAAGTGAGAAAAAAAGGGGGGAAAGAAAGAAAAAAAGTAGGAGAAAAAAGAAGGAAAAAAAGTAAAACAGTGAAACGGCACGATTTTTGGAAAATTCTGGATCCGCCACTGGGTCACCCCCCCCCCCCCCCCCCCCCCCATTGGCAAAAAACTAGATCCGCCCCTAGTTATTTCTGACGTCGAGACTGGACACACCGACATGCATGATGGACGCTCCGAAATGCCCCGAGTATAAGAGGATGCCCCATGAGTCCCCTGGGGCTAAGAAATATTACAGGAGTAATAGTTTTCTAAAGGCGTGGCACAATAATTACTGAAAAAACTTGATAACTTCACTACGTATGCATATTCAGTGCCAGATCTCTGCAAATCAAATATTTTAAATTTCTAATCATGTTGTGCTTTTACTTACGTATTGGATCACCGAGACAATCCTTAACGGTTTCTATCAAATCAAATACCATGATGCTCGATTTAGTGTCTCAATTTACAAGAGGAACATTATCACAAATTGGGGTGCTTCATTAGTTCGGGGTATTTTTTTCTTCAGATTTCTTTAAAATTTTCAGTCAAAGTAACATAGACACTGAACGTCTGGCCCTATTTTTGTTTTCTTCATCAAGTTGATGTACGCCTAAAGGACATGAAAGTTTTAGTGAAGAGATTCCCCCCCACCACCACCACCACCACTACCAAAATTATTTTGAATTAAAAGGAGGGCAATTTATATATTTTATTTCATAAACAGGAGTTTAGTGTGCATTCTACCATACAAACCTTTTCAAAGTAGCTCATGCTCAACGATTGTTAATTTCGCTCAAATTATTAAAACACATCAAATACTTTTTGTCTTCTTTTAAATTATATCCAAGAGACTTCGCTATCATTTAATAGCTACGCATGAACGTTTAAGATTTTTTTTCTTCGAATGTTGAACCTGTGTAGGCCTATTCTTTTTTTTTTCACTCTGGGGGCACATCATTTTAACAAGATCGTGAGCGAAACTTAATGTGGGCCTATTGAAGCTATGGAGAAAAACTCACAATCTAGACCCTTCAAATACGCTTGACGATATCCCGTTTTTTACGAGTGCAAACTTACAGATCCTATAGAAAATATATTCGAGGGAGCAAACCTCCTGAGCTTTAGAAAAGTTTCGCTTTTTTTTTTTTTTTATTGAATTAAAAGGAGGGCGATTTATATATATTTTATTTCATAAACAGGAGTTTAGTGTGCATTCTACCATACAAACCTTTTCAAAGTATATGCTCAACGATTGTTAATTTCGCTCAAATTATTAAAACAAATCAAATACTTTTTGTCTTCTTTTAAATTATATCCAAGAGACTTCGCTATCATTTAATAGCTACGCATGAACGTTTACGATTTTTTTTCTTCGAATGTTGAACCTATGTAGGCCTATTCTTTTTTTTTCACTCTGGGGGCACATCATTTTAACAAGATCGTGAGCGAAACTTAATGTGGGCCTATTGAAGCTATGGAGAAAAACTCACAATCTAGACCCTTCAAATACGCTTGACGATATCCCGTTTTTTACGAGTGCAAACTTACAGATCCTATAGAAAATATATTCGAGGGAGCAAACCTCCTGAGCTTTAGAAAAGTTTCGCTTTTTTTTTCTACCTAAAACATTGTTTTCTTCACGCACTTCACCCTGGATTGGGCATGTTGGGGCGCAATCCATGGAATATCGAATCTGTGAGCTCTTACAAAGTATGATCACTGAACTGGGATATCACAAAGAGCGCCCCCCCCCTCCCCCCTCCCCCCCCCCCCCCCCCCCCCCCCTCCTGTCCGCGTTTGAGAGACGTTGGGATTTTTTTTTCTTCCCCCGAGAAACTTTGTAACGGAGTGGGTTTGTAAAGGATAGCGCAAAACAAAAAAGACAGAGATCGGTAATCTCATGATATCATTACCCCCCCCCCCATTTTTTCTTTGTAAGAAGTAGAAGAAATAATGATTCGGCAATAATTGTTTTTGACTATTTTTTCTTCATATGCTTTATGCAAATGTCAAAGTAAATATATTTTCAAGGTTTCAGAACTTACGTGGACTATAATAAAGATCTTGAATTGCAAAAAAGAAAAAGAAAGTGTCCTTGCACTTTTGTTTTGCTAATGTTGTATAGGTACATAATTATGTGCATGTATAATTGCCTACATCTTAGTGTAAATTTCCCGGTATAAATTTACCCCGCCCCCCCCCCCACTCAGTGTTATTTAGGGTAAGCATTTGCTTGTTCCCTCTTTTTGAAAGCACCCCCTATCTGAGGACTCACATCTCACATTTCCGAACCCCCCTTTTGCGGGCTTTTCGCAGGCTTTTCCTGCCTTGGAGACCCCCCTAAATCATGAAAAATGCTCAATGTACCCCCGGCCTAAATTCGGAATCATTTCTCAGGAGTCCAAAGAGATGAGAGAAAAACAGAAAAAACACCCCCTTTTCAAATTAATCTCCGGGTGAAAAGTTTATACACCCCCCCCCCCTTTTTTTTTTTTACAATTACAGGGTCGGACTTTGTCGCACAAAAAGTACCCCTTTACCGGACATTTTGGTAACACGCATGGGGTCCGTCCGTTCTCGGAGTGGGGGGGGGGGGGGGGGGGCGGGAAATTTACTCTTCGTGAGGTTTTGATCTACGTTATACTGCTTTTTAGTAATCTTTTTATATTTAGGCCTAGACCTACTTGTCAATATTTTGATTTTTTTTTTTTTATTGTTTCAATAAAATACATTAGAACAAAAATAGCACTGGTCAAAAAATGATTTACTTGCCTAAATTAAACAACAACATCATAGACCTATCATGGCTAGTAGGGGTATGATGGGGTAAACAATTATTTAGGTACCAATTATTTAGCCCCCTGCCCGATGCCCAGCCAGCCAGAGCGACCTGAGGCGCGCCCATTTTTTCCCCAGGCGCGCCCATAATACACATATACGTAACCGCTGCATCCAATGCTATTGTGTGTATACGTCCGCTTAGCCTGTGTACTATTGTGTACTGCGAACGTAAACAACCGGCGTCTTGGCGATTTGTGTTGGCTTCAGCTCATTCACAGTTATCTTAAATTCTCGAAACAGTAACTCAGGACAGACGATCTAAAAGAATCATGGGTCTACTAAAAGATGAAGAACATGTGAAAGATAATAGAAATGCTGCAGGGTAAGTTTTTAATATAAAAAACTGTTGAACATGCTGAAAAATGGAATCACTGCCCTGCACACTCACGTCACTCAGTCACTGATCACTGCAATGCAGTGGCGCAACAACCGGCCTTCCGTGAATTCCGTTTGTGCGCCTTATGCTTAGGCCTATATCATTATGTATGATGTAGATCTACACCAAAATAATCAATGTTTTTATCCTGCATCAAATTGGGAATGCTTAAAACAGCTATTTTTGTGTAATGTTGGTTCCGTCGGAAACAAAAACCTATGTGGTGTAGATCTAGAGTCTAGACTACATGAAAAAGACCTGATTTCGAATAGCAGGGCATTTGATTAGTATTCCTGGAAAGATTCGCTTATGCGACAGCTAGATCTACCCAAATTGAAGGTTATATAGTGATAGGGTTAAAGTAGATTCCTTCATTATTATATTATAACTCTGTCACT